AGAAAATCATAATATAAAGCTTTCATTCATGATGCTGAACGTTAATATGAGATCTATTCTAATTATACTGTCAAGTTGAGGAAATAAATTTATTCGTTTCAATCCCCCCTTACATAAGTAGTTAGAAAGTCTTGTTAGTATCTAGGTTTCCAGTCTTGAAAACTGATTTAGTGAGCCAACTAGAAGTGACCTAAATGACAAGTGCGTCTCATAGACTAATAAATGGATTAATTTCCTGAGGTGTAGAGTTGTATATATATCTGTGCATATGTAAATGTAAACAGGTATTTGTGCACTTTATTCGGTAGCTCAATATATTTTCTCTCGTGCTCTTATAATGTCTGTAACGTAGTCAGTTGGTGTCACATTTGAATCATGGTTGGAGAGATATGAAGTTCACTTTTCTCATCATGATGACTCTGCAAAGGTCAGAACTTTACTTTGAAAACTTGAAGCAGATGGACATAAAAATTATTCAAATCTTGTCAAAAAACGCAACAATTCTCCTTTTGATTCTAATTTACAAAAGTCAGCAGAAAGTTTTACTACTGAGACGTCTATATGTAATTTGCGATATGATCGTCTCAGAATTACTAAGAGACCTGGAGATGATTTTGTTCCATATATTGCATCTATTAATAAGCCATGCCAAATTCTTGAGTTGAGGTCACTTCCAGATGATCAGTTTTAGTGCCTTGACTTTGCATGTGGATTACAATCATAGGCCGACTCATATATTCGTTATAGAATTTTAAGCAGAATAAAGTGAAATTCAAACACCACATTTAAAGATAGCACAAACAAGTGTCGTCTTCTTACAATTAATCTTAATAATGACACTAAAATGATGGAAAGTTCAAATCCTAATCATACATCTGACATTAATTCGGATTCATTTGACTTGATGAACATTTCACTATTATTGTCACAAAGCATGATTCGCGAAATTTTCATCACCCAAATCGAATGTGTAATGTCAACGACTCTAATTCATGTCGCTCTTCAAGGCCTCCAACTAATTTTTGGAACTGTAGGGCATAGCATTTTTGTTTCTGTCCATTCAAAAGACATAAATGCACAAAACGTGAAGTAACTGGCCACAACCAGGGATTTTGCGAGCTCAGAAAACCCTTATCTAATCATCGAATGCTAAAAAGGATCAATTGTGTACATGCACTGTTGAAACCTTACCCCCAATGCTGACGCATGTATTTATCCATTATTGTTAATGATAGTATTATCATTTTGCAGTTGAACACTACATCCGACGTTACTTTGATTTCTCGCAAAACCTAGCACGAAGTTGGTTGGCCAAGCATTCATATTACTACCAACTGCATAAAGAATGAAACGGGAGCCCTGATTAAAATTTCTGGATTATCAAGTGTATTTTTGGGTTTAATAACCTAATAATCAAATCCAAATGCTAGGTTACTGACGAATCCCTCAATCTATTGGGTTTCGACCGGATCACAGAATTAAAAATTCTCAACCAGTCATTTAATCTCATTTGAAATCAAATATCTCATTCAACTCTCAAGAAATCTTCATATCCACATACTATCGAGAAACTGAAACACGTTTTCTAGTATTTTTCGAAATGACTTTGGTTATTGTACGAAGATAAAAGATAAAATATATTTGAAACCGAATGTTAAACCTATTTTCCCGTCAAAACACAAAAGTGTCTTGTACGGCGTGCTCTTTTGTAGACAAAGAACCAAATAGATTGCGAGTTTCGGGCGTTCCTGAACCATTTAGTTATTAGTTTTGGGCAACACCAACTGTAGTAGTAAAAAATTGAATAGTTTAGTTGGAATATGTGACGATTTTTCAACTGGACTAAGCAGTTACCTAGAAAGACACCAGTACCAACTCCCCGCGCCAGATGATCGTTTTACGCAACTGAACAGAGGCAGATTTTTTCCAAACACTGACCTCGCTAACGTATATCTGCAGATAGAAGCTGGTGAAGCATCCAGAGAATTGGTTACCATTAAAGCACACCGAGGCTTCTATCACCATACTCGACTTTTATTTGGATTCAAGCCAGCTCCGACCATATTCCACCAAATTATGGATGTAATGCTCACAGACGTTCCGGGTGTCTTGGCTTACGTGGATGACACCGACGTTTCTGGCACAGCTACAGAAGGATCATTTGGACATTTGAATAAGGTTTTCGTGCCCATTAAGTACCATGATTTCTAACTAAAGCAAGAGAGGTAACTTTTTCATGACTGTAATCAAGTATCTTGAATTTGTCGTCAGTCACTACGGAAGACGGCCTGATCCACGGAATATTTAAGCCATAAAGCAAATCCCACCACTATTTGAGTTAAACGCCCCACGATCATTCTTGGGGTTGAGAAATCATAAGGCCTAATTCTTTCCATCCATGCATCAACATCGCTCGTCTCTAATTGAACGCCTGAGCAAAGAAGCGAAATGACACTGATCTCCCTAATGTCAAAAGAGCTTTTATGAAAATGCTGTAATCGAATATGCTGCTAACTCATTTTAACCCTAATCGCAAAACAATCATTGCCTCTAGTGCATCGAACTACGGACTCATAGTTGTTATTCCACACATTTTCCCAAATCTTTCTGAGGAAGCTATTTCACGTGCATCTAGGACGTCAAATAGAAAAAACGAAACACCAACAACTATCTTTGTAGTAAAAAATATTTTATAAAACAATTTATTTACGACATTTCACTCTTAGCAGACCATAAACCCCTTACATCAATTTTTGGTTCAAAGAAAGGCATCACAGTATACGCCGCAAATAGCTTGCAGAGGTGGGATAAACTTCTTGTTTATAATACGTTGTGATACATCAACGGTCAGCTTTGGACAGGTTGATGCGTTATCGAGATTGATCAACTCAAACTGATCAACCGATGAGAATTGCGTCGTTGCGCTAGTAACAGTTGAAGCAGAGGTGAAACGAGTTATGTCAAATGCGACTAACCCCTTACCAGAAACGGTAAATATGGTTCAAGATGCTACACCATCGGTTTTGAACTTTAGTGCATAGCAAAATACATGAATGAACATCTGGGTTACCTGTTCCTGCCACCCAGATAGTTCGACAAGTTACCTGTTTCCTTGTTTGCTTTAAGACATCATCACGTCGACTAATCGTACAACCTATTCAAATACGTTTGTGTATAGTTTACGACATTTCACTGTACAAGTTACAAAAAAGTTTCAATTGGAGACATCGTGATGGTTGACAATAAGGATTGAAAAGAATGAATATTATTCAGATGTCGACCTCTGAAATACTAATATCACTAAATATTTGCCATCAATATCGATCAAGAAATAAAAAACGGAAACTCGCAGAAATACTTCATGTTGAGAATTCCCTATTGTACCAAAAATATAGTATTGAATAAAGCTAATAACAATGAACGTTGGCCAAAAACGGCTGTTGTGTTTCCATCGATGCGGCGCGTTGTCTATTACGAACTCTTGTCTATTGTCTGGGGGACGCCTACTTATTCCGACCACCCTCAGATACCGAGTATTGAAACAGCTGCACTCAGGTCATTCTGGTGTGCAGCGTATTGCGTCACTAGCACGTAGTTATGAATATTGGCCACTGATGGGTAGAGACGTTGAAATTATCATAAAGGAATGCCACTGCAAATACAACCACCTCGTGGCCGAGTGCAGGAAAGCCATGGTCCAGTGTTCATGCTGATTTGACTGGACCAGTAAATGGTCAATACCTTATTACCATCGACTGATTTACGAAATGGCCAGGGATTTAGCTAATGCGTCAGACATCATCGACATCAACAATAAGGGTGCTGAATAGGATTCTCGGACAGTTTGGTCTTCCGAAAACCCTGGTTAAAGACAATGAACCTCAGTTCACGATTACACACATTCAGTCACCACCCTAACAGCCCCAGACAAACGGTCAAGCTAAGTGTGTTGCTAATACTTTAAACAGAGCTTTCATACAGTCACAAGGGGAATGCATGATGGAGGAGGTTATCTAGAACTTTAGGAGCATGCAGAATAACCCTAAATCCGGCCCCACCCAACAGTATCTCCCCTGATAATTCAGTGTTTGGAAGGAAGATCCGGACTTCATTTGATAGTATGTACCCACAAAGAGGAAGGCAAGATTATAATCACTGGAGGATGAGTTACCAGTGGAAGTAATAGACTTTTGACAATGGGTACCTGTGTGGGTAGCAGGTGTCATCGTAAGAAGAGTCGGTGACGAGATGTATGAAGTTGATGTTCAAAGCAAATACCTGACGCAACATGCAAACTACATCTACGACAAACGACTAAAGTCGTTTAAAGAACTCATAAGCTCAGACTTACCACCAGATTATTTATTTATACAATTAGTCTGGAGCGGTAAGATCAGTGCAGAAGAAGTGATGGCCAGACCCCAAGAAGTTCATCATGAGGGCAACGTTTCCCTCAACACCCTCAGTTAAATAAAAGGACCAAGACTTATCTTTCGCGATTGCTCTCCAATTCTAATTTTCTTGGGAATAGTGTTTTGTCCATTGTATGCAGATTCTCATCAACGTATTCTAGTTGAAGTTTCTGCGCACCTACTTTTAAACGATCTTACAGGTTCTGAATAAATCATCCTCTGGGGAAATTTGGACTAGGACACGTAATTCGTAATTCAACTCCCTGAGAGAAACCAGGTATTCGAACTCCTTGTGACTTGTTATTACAAACAGCCTCAATCAAATTTTCAGTATAAAAGTTTGAAAAAAGAATTTGGAAAAACTTTAGTTCGTTTAAACACCACGTCACATTCTCAATCAGGTTGACGCCTGCATGGGACTGTTCACTGTTCTTCGCTTTCGGGGATGAAAGATCGTTAGGCTAATCTTCTATTCTATCTTCATCTACCTAAAAGTACAGACGGTTACGCTACACAATTACACAAATAATTACAAAGAAAAACACAGCGTAATAAAGTTAGCAGAAAGAAATGCTTTCGGTCTCAGTGATACACAGTGTCCTTTTTATTATTTGTGCCGGATGAAAATATAGGTTTTTAATACACCATGATGTCTTCTTTTTTCCGCCTCTAACAGTTCACATAGCGGCGCGAGTTTCGTACTCACTTGAAGATGGCTACTTTTAAAGGAGCTGCTAGGGAGGCTCAAAGAGCTGCTCTGTTGATGAAACAGCGTGAAAAGGAACGACAAGAACTGGAACTTCAGAAAAGAAAACTCGAGGCAGAGATGCGTGTTGGTGAAATGTCTACTAAGTTTGCTGTACATTATGATGCCATTGAATATCAATTGAAGAATAACACAGTATGTTATTTAGCTTATATAACCCACACTTAGATTGGCTTGGTGACTTTAGATGAAATGAAAGCGCGACAAAAGGCTTATCTGACACAAAGAGAGAAGGAATTAGCTCTAGGAAACTCGAAAGGACTCTCACATAAGTCAGAAAATTCCACACTGGAAAAAAAGAATAAACTTCAGCCTGTGGGTCTTTTTGTTTGCACCTATTTATATGACGTAGTCTTTGTTGTCTTTCGCTGAGGAAGAAGATGTTGAGGACGAACTTAAGCCATCTATCTCCGCTGTGCAGAATTCCGAGTCACCCGAGAAAGTAAAAGTTGTACTACATTTTAGATCCCTCAAGATGATTTATAGACTGAACAAAATCTCCAGTCAGAAGTTCTAACTGACGGCGAAAGTGCCGTTAAGTCTGATAGTGAGTCTTGTACTAAACGAAGACGCTTGGGGAAAAATCCAACCGTTGACACCAGTTTTCTACCGGATATTGACAGAGATGAAGAAGAAAAACGCCTAAGGTGAGTAATACACGTAGCGTTTTGTATAGTTTTGTTGCAAGTTTTCCGTAACAGTTTCATCGCAAACGTTGATAGACTTATTTATCATGTGGCGAGACTATCATTTATGGAGTGACGCTAATATGACCTTGAGAATGTCCACCTACTTAATAGGGCTAAATGAGGGTTATAAGGCAGTGTTAGGAGTCGGAATTATGGTTTCCAGTTGATGGTTAGGGTTAGAAATTAGGTTTACGGTTTTCATCACGAACTGACATCAGCTAAAATGCCCAGACGCTATTTAAACCAGCGGGTGAATAAGTCTCGCGCCAAAATCCTAAACATTTTATTTTAAATCTGGTTGATTCGTCCATAAATTATAGTCTTTCTGGTTATGTGATCTGAACAAAATCTTTTGTATGCCATGCTACATCTCGTCTTTGAATCCGGGTCTTGAGTCTCGGTTGTTTTTTTATTCAGGTTGGTTTTGTCATCTAAACTCGCCGAATCATTTTTTACGTTGTGATCTGGTTTCATCACGGCGTCATAAAAGCCCAGTTACTCGTATATCACTTAAGATACACTGATATAGATGAATCAGGTGATTTGTCCGCTTCTTTTCTAAAAGACGGTGCACAACTTGTTAGGTTCATTTATTTATCAGTTTCTAAAATTTTTAAATGACACACAATTTGGCTTGTGGTTGGGTTCAAAAACTCGTGCTTAGTTGTCAAAACCACTTGCTAAGTTTGATTTACTGTACTTGGTTACAAATTACACTATAAGTATGATACGTGCAATATAGTGACTGGATTCTGGACCCCTTTACCACTAAGCCACCATCACTATTTATTTACTAGTATTTGACCACAGATGCCTCAGAAATATTGCTCGCATCTGCTAGGATCACCGGGTAAGTAATAGTGAGGTTCGACGCAGGGTATTAGGGAATGATGGTAAATCAGTTGATGAGGTTGTGAATCTTCATCGACTGAGATGGTTGGGCCACGTGTTACGTATGCCCGAACACCGATTACCACGACGTGCAATGCTAACCGGTGTTCGGGATGGTTGGAAGAAAGTTAGAGGCGGCCAAACCAAAACGTGGCATCAGTCCTTGAAGTCACTAATTTCTAGTCTGAGCCATGTTGGTAGATGCAGACTACTTGTTTGGGGTTCGTGTGACTATCGTAACCAATGGTTGGAGACTCTTGGCGACATGGCTCAGAATCGATCACAATGGTTTGGGTGTATACACTCTCTGTCTTCCCCTAAACTAAGAGATTAAAATCGCTTCATATCTTTCTTTCTACGAACTAATTCTTTCTTCCTTATTGCAATCTTTCGCTTATATATTACCACCTCTGAATTAACTACTTTTACGAATCCAGTGTCCATCTTGATGTGTTAATGAGGTATGGCAACTTGGACCGATGCATATATGTGCCTGGTCCTACGTTGTAGCTGACTGACTAGCATCCATGGTCTCGTAAGTAAATTTTCAGTGTTAATTAAGCGCATACAGTAGTCTTTATCTTTCTCCTAATAATTGTCTTAGAACTTTGCAACAACATTTAGTGTTAAATGTACTCATCTTTAAATCATACTTTGTGCATGGTTTAGAGGTACTCTTCAACTGCCTAGATAAGGGTAAATATGTCTGGTTTCTAATCTAGAGCCTAATTTTCAGAAGTTATATGCTTTCATCACCAAGCTAAAACGTTTTTAGAATTTTCTTATGTCATTCAGTCGATAGTTAAAAAAGGAATACATATAAACTACTATTTGTATTGCCATTTAGCTGTAATCAGTTTTCGCACACACAAGAAATCGATGTTTTGCTGTCAGACATGCTTCATAAAGCCAAATGCAGATTCTCATCAGTAAGCACTTTCAATGAATAGATACAGTAGCTACATAATTCTAACTTATGTTTTCGTAAGTATTTAAGGAAAAGGCAAGATTTACCTCCGATTGCATAGACGTTTCAATTATGTGACTCCCATTGAAAAATATGTCTAGATTGGCCCGTTATCACTGTACCCATCCATATTTTGAAATTCAACATGCTTTGAAAATAACACTGCTTTGTTAAGTTAAACTGCTTTATTCCAAATTCTTGTTGATGTTATGATAGAAATTCAGTAAAATTTAGCATCACATTTTTTTTATATCTCAGAGAAGAACTTCGAAGGGAATGGGTGGCAAAGCAAGCTGCGATCAAAGAAGAGGAAATAGTTATCACGTACAGCTACTGGGATGGATCTGGACACCGCAAACAAGTTCGGATGAAAAAGGGGCACTCCATTCATTTATTTTTACATCGTTGCGTAGAGCAACTCCGTAAAGACTTCTCTGAATTAAAGTCTGCCAGTGCAGATCAAATGATGTATATCAAAGAAGATTTGATTATTCCTCATCATTATACATTTTATGATTTTATTGTAACTAAGGCTCGTGGTAAATCTGGACCATTATTCTGCTTTGATGTTCACGACGATGTTCGTATCCGGATGGATGCAAATGTAGAAAAAGAAGAATCACATGCTGGAAAAGTCTGTTTACGTAGCTGGTATGAACGTAATAAACACATTTTCCCCGCTAGTCGATGGGAACCGTATGATCCTGCAAAGAATTGGGATCATTACACTGTATCAGATAAAATGTCTGCAAAGATTACTGTTAAATGAATTATTTACTTTCTTTTCCTTTCAAACTTTCGACTAAGTGTACAATAATTTGGCTTATTATTTACATTTCTTATTTGTTGTATATAATCAAAATAACATAAAATCAATAATTTGCAAAATATCTAGTTTTTCGTTACTACTTCTAGATAGAATGAGGAGTTTTTCAAGAGAATATTAAGTAATAGTAATAATAAATTCTCCAAGTGTTAATGTAAAAACTGTATGTAATAAAAAACCACTGGGGTTGTTGGTAAGAGTTAAGTCGTGGAGGTGACAAGTAATACCTCTAGATCAGATGCGTTGTGGAATTTTGTGCATAATCCTCACAGGACTGAAGTAAAACTTTCTAACTTTGGTTTTTTAATGACAACCACCGTAGCGTTATTGATGCTTAGCAACTTGAATGACCACAAATGATCTTAGTAAATTGGAAGCGACGTAAAGTAAATTTCCAGTGAACACATTTTGTGTAATCATAATGTGCTATCTTAAAATACGACATCATAGATTATACTTCTTGTAAGTGCTCTCTAAAGAGTGATTCATAGGCTCCAATCAACATGGAACTATACGTGATACTGGTTGATGATCATGCAATGCAAGTATCTCACCCCTATAAAATCAGCATGTACTTGGATATTCCTGTTGTGATGTCTTCGACTGTAACATGGGTTCGAGGCCCACATGGAGTACCATTTTCCTTGAAATCACAGATATGCCTGGCTGACAACTAGCAACCACAATAGGATTTAGACGGCTGGCTTTTTTTCTGCTGATCCTAAACGATGGAACAAAATAGACTACAATAACGAGCCACTGGGCCTTGTGGTCCCACTGCAACATGGTCGATAGAATTTGGAAGAGAAATTGTATGTCGTTGAAGCTTATCATTTAAACGCACATCAAAAGCCAAAATGTAAGACATGTTCATAAATGAAGATTGCAGTGAAGCATAATGATTCATTTCAGTTGGCTAAATCCCAAATTGGTAAAATATTAACTCCAATTTACCGATTATTATTAGATCCGTCCCGATTTTCGATATAAGTTTGCAACCACATTATCCAGTGATTTTCTGCGAAATATATTGATATTTTCTCGTTTTGTTGACACAATTACTGAGAATCAGAGTTTGCATGATCATCAGTTACAGCTGAGAAACTTTCATTAAAATGAAGCTACCTTGATCTTAAGTAAATCAAGCAATAGTTTTAACTCTTAAGTCACTTTGGGTGCTCCATAACTTCACCTCCGCATTGTTTTCAGATTTCTTCATCGTTTAGTGATGATTTGATGACATTTATGAGGAAGAGGTTTCTAACGGGAAAGTTCTAATTCACAGCAAAACTTTCTGTGAAATATTGACTTTCCGCTTTGGCTGAAGAAAATGTCACTTTAAAAAACTAGTAAAAGATTGGTATAAGAACAAACGAGTAAATAAATAAGTAGGACAAAAATAAAATTTCCAATATATGTAAAGAGAACAATATATCTGAATAGATTCGATTAACTTGGAGCTATATTGATAAATTTGAATATTGCTTATTACTTATACAGTTAACGTAAAACACCGTGTTCGTCGCCATGCTGACAACTTTAATCGCTTGACACTTAACCTGAGTGCGTACTACACACACTTTTCATAATTCTACAATCAAGGGGAAATAAAGCTAGGGACTTCAAAGATTCTCAAATTAATGACAGAATAGCTATAAAACTATTTCTTTAAAATGAAATAATATTGAAAAGGGATGAAATAATTTTCAAGGGGACTGCGATATTGTTTTCAGTTAAATAGCTTACAATTTACGTCGTATCGAAACAAATTACGCCTAAATTAATAAACATAACACACTAAACAAATCAACCTGCTGACATAGATTATTCCATTGTATTTTATGAAGTGTGTTTTGAGATAAATGCTAATAATACTACAACAAACTATCTGAACACATCATTATTATGCTCATTTCAAACTGATCTTACTGCCTACAGGGTCAAAGTATTACTTTTTTACTTACGCCTGTTATCCCAAATGGAGCATAAACAACCGATCAGCATTCTCCAACTCACTCTGTCCTGGGCCTTCCTTTCTACTTCTATCCGATTCTTGTTCATTTTACTCATATCTCTCTCCATTTCTCGGCGTAATGTGTTCTTTGGTCTTCCTCTCCTCCTTTGGCCTTCAGGATTCCATATGAGGGCTTGCCTTGAGACTCAGCTGGGTGCTTTCCTCAATGTGTGTCCTATCCACTTCCAGCGCTTCTTCCTGATTTCTTCCTCTGTTGAGATCTGGTTTGTTCTCTCCCATAGTAGGTTGTTGCTGACAGTATCTGGCCAACAAATCCGAGGTATTTTGTGTAGACAACTGTTAATAAACACCTGTATTTTCTGGATGATGGCTTTCGTAGTTCTCCAGGTTTCCGCCACACACAATAGAACTACCTTGACATTTGTTTTGAGAATCCCGACCTTGGTGTCGGCTGACAGTTGTTTTGAGTTCCAGATGTTCCTCAGTTGTAGGTATGATGTTCTTGCTTTTCCGATCCGAACCTTCCCATCTGCATCAGATCCACCGTGTTCATTAATGATACTGCCCAGATATGTAAAAGTTTTCACATCTTCCAAATCTTCTCCGTCAATTGTGATTGGATTGGTGCATGCTGTGTTGTATCGGAGAATCTTGCTTTTCCCTTTGTGTATATTGAGGCCTACTGCTGTTGTGGCTGCTGCTACACTGGCCGTTTTCTCCTGCATTTGTTGTTGCGATTGCGATAGGAGGGCCAGATCACCTGTGAAGTCTATTTCGTCCAGCTGCATCCTATCTGTCCACTGTATCCCGTGTTTCCTTTCAGATGTTGACATCTTCATGCTCCAGTCGACCACCAGAAGAAAGAGAAAGGGTGAGAGTGAGCAACCTTGCCTGACACCGGTCTTTACTTCGAACGAGTCTGTGAGCTGTCTTTCATGCACGATTTTGCAGTTTGATCCATCATAAGAATTCCGTATGATGTTGACTATCTTCTCAGGCACGCCCTAGTGTCTAAGAAGCCTCCATAGTGTTGTCCTGCCCACGCTATCAAATACTTTGTCGTAGTCAATGAAGTTGATGTATAATGGTGAATTCCATTCAATTGATTGTTCCACAATGATCCGTAGTGTTGTAATTCGGTCGGTACACGATCAACCCTTACGGAATCCAGCCTGTTGATCTCGAAGTTGGGCGTCTGTTAAACAATACCCTATTGAACACTTTTCATGGTATTGAGGGACGAGTGATGTCTCTTTAGTTATCATACTTGCTGAGATCGCCTTTCTTTGGTATCTTGATCAGGTGTCCTTCTTTCCAATCCGTTGGTACATGTTCTTCATATCAAATCTTGCTGAAGTGAATGTTGAGTATCGTTGCAATTACTGCTACGTCTGCTCTCAGTGATTCTGTTGGAGTGTTGTCTGGTCCCGCTGATTTGCCACTCTTGATTTGTCTGGTGGTCATGCTGATCTTTTCAATTGTTGGTGGGCCAACATTGACTGGGAGGTTCTTGGGTGCTGCTTCGATGTTGGGTAGGTTCAGTGGAGCTGGTCGATTCAAGAGTTCCTTGAAGTGCTCTACCTAGCTGTTTCGCTGTTTGCCAATGTTGGTGATTGCTTTGCCTTCCTTGCTTTTCACTGGTCCTCCTGGTTTGAGATAATTCCCAGCGAGCTGCTTTGTTATATCATACAACTGTCTGATGCTTCCTCCTCTTGCAGCCTTTTCCGCCGTTATTGTTAGATCTTCCGCATATTTACGTTTGTAGGCTCTGATGCTCCTCTTCACTTGCTTGTTTACTTCTTTGTATTCAGCTTGTGTCTTGGTTTTCTCTACTATTGTTCGGTTGATATTGGTTGATCCCTCCTTTCTTGAATCTTATTCAATGTATCAACAGTGATCCATTCCTTGTGATGGTGCTTCTTGTGAATTGAAGCACTCTTCCAGAATTGGAAGCACTCTGTGTTATAAAGCAACCAAATATTATCTTTCAAGCGGATCTGTACGTGATCTATCTAGAAAAGATAGAATAAAATTTATTTATTGTGATTGGTAATTTTCTTACATCGTTTATCAACTTGTTTACTTATTGTAATTTAGATTTGATTAATAATTGAACAATCATTGGTTGAATAACTGGGTGGGGATATTTGTCTGAGTAATAATTCGTATTTGTATTTATAATGAAATCTAGAACCGTCATTTAGCCAATTACTTTGTTTTGGTTTCAACTGGGCAATAGGGCGTATCTAAACTACCTAGACAGTTATTCTTCAGTCCAAACATTAGTTTGGATTCTACAGTTCTAAACAATTATCTAGTCAGTGATCATTGTTATTTGGCTTACGTTTGGTGGATTTCAAGTATCGTTCCTGAGGGTATTCTGTTCCTTGGCTCGTGATGTCAAGCACTCGTCAAAGGAAGTCGAACTCAAAGCTCGTTGGTGTCAATGGAGCTAAACTAAATGATGGATCCCTTTTACCAAAGCAAGTGCCTTTTGACGTTCGTGTATGTCATTGTTCAGACTCAAATAGGGTTAATTATCATGATAGTAACTCTAGTTGTGATTCGATGACAGATGACGTAAAAAAATCTTAGTTTAATTGAAAAGCAAAGGCTTGAAATATCAGGGAACAGAGTAATGCCTATGGCGCCTATTGTAGGTTTAGAAATACCAAAGGTTTAATTGAGTTATTTCGATGGACATCCAAGAAAGTACTGGAAAATTGTAAGGCAGTTTAAGACCTACGTAGCATCAAGAGTCATTAGTGATAATCAACGTTTATTTAATTTAATCCACTATTGTAAGGGTATGGAGAAAGCAGCTATTGAGGGATGTGTCATGATGGATGCCTCTACTGGTTATAAGAGGGCCGGGGGAATTCTAAAACGCTTGTTCGGACAATCATATGTAATCACTCGAGACACTTTAGAAGACTTATTCAATACTGTAAATTTTAATTATAATGACGCGGAGCAGTTATCAAACCTGGCTATAAGACTGGAACGTTGTGCTATGGTCTTGGAACAGATGAATTATACTGCGGAGGTTTTTATCTCAGCCTGTGCAAGCGCAGTGGTCGGAACTGGTGG